AAGGATGGAAGGCTGAGTCAACCCTGAGCCAGTGAGATTTGAACAGCCGAACTGCAGTCAGCTGAAGTAGCCTGCAGTGCTGCATTTAACCACTGAGCCACCTCGGCTCAGATACTCAGCAGTTTCATTGCAGCTAGTGAAAATCTGAGCAGTGCCACGAGGGACACCGAATAATAATATAACAATGGCTATTTTGTCTATATGCCTCCTAAAGGCATCATCTGAAATCTATCTGAGAGTCAGAAATGCAATAAGTGGTTCCTATTTTTCCAAATTCTGTGCTAACTAGAAGAATAAACTTACGCTACCGAGGGAGAGAAAAATCTATTGGGTAAACCAAAGTAATCCAACCCTGTAGTATGCTCATCCAGCTAATTGCAATTGTTCGATAAATCAGGTTCAAACTATTATTTAGCATGATGTTTAAGCACATCTAAAATCTGGTAATTCTACTTTTGTTCAATAGGTTTTCACTAACACTTACCTTTTCTCGGAAGTGTCTGTTTCCTGCTGCAGCAGCTGACAATATTGTTACCACAGCTTCACAGGTTTCCCTTTTGTTTTCAGTCAGAAGGACAGCCAAAGATTTCAGCACTTCTTGTTGAGGTGAGATACTGATGGAGGTTAAATTGGCCTTATTCTGCAAGAACTTTTCATCTCTTAAAGACTGTAGAGTTTGTACCATTAAAGCTAGAACACAAAGACATTTAACAATTTGTCCCTTTTTAGAAGAAGTTTAGACTAAAAGATGCATTTGAAATAGCATACAAACATCCAGCAATATCTGTGAAGGGTAGAATAATTTTAAATATGTGAGAATGAGCTACCTATGTTACCACCACTTCTGACCATCACTATAGAGTTAAATCTACGGTCTCCATCATCAAACTGTGGATCTCGTGGCTGAAACATATGACTTAATTTGTGTTTTACACCCTCTATTTTGTATAGAACAAAATGATGAAGAATATTCTACCCCCGCAAAAAATCTGTCTTTTGTGTAGAACCCTTCTGAAATGTTCCAGAATCCTCAACAACAATTTTCAGATGTTTTTTTCTACCATTTTAGCTGTTCCTACTAAAAGTATTGTGGCCTTATGGAATCTGAACTTCTGAAGAGCTTGTTTCTTACCTTCTTTTGCAAGCTGAAGCAAATAGTTTGCCAGATCACTAACATTTTTATTAGCAAAATAGTTGTAATACTGAAAAACTGTTATAACTTCCAAGGGCAGACTGGAGGAGAGAAGAGGTTCTGCACGATCCAAGATATGAGAAATCAAAGTTCTGAACACTGCATATAACCAGATAAAAGTATTAGTTAGCAAATGAATCCTCATTAATGAGAGCAACATAAAATTACTAGAGGTAAGTCATTTTTAGAAAGGGTAATAATGTGTTTTAGAAAAAAAAAATAGACCACTTCATACTTTCTAGAAATTTACAATTATAATTTCCAGAAAGCATCAGTATGACAATGATTACAGATTATGCAAACTGTAGAATATTGGCAAACTCGGGGAAACTGATTAGTACCTCTGATCTATAATGACACTCAATTCAAAAGTCATTATATTTCTATTGTACTCAAATAGAACAAATGGAAAGAAAATAGGCGACTGGTATGATATGACATGAATTCACCTTAAAAGTGATTGACTTTGGTTGAATATATTCATTTTATTATGGGCACGGTCTAAAGAAATCTGGAACTGCAATCAATAATTTTTTTGCTTAAAAAAACTCAAAATAATTTATTTAAATAGCAACTTTTAAAACTAGGTTTTTAGCTAAAGTTTGCATAAAATCTTAATGAGTGTTAAAAGCCCATGCCCATATGTAATTATTTCAAGATTAGGTAGGTCCAGTAACATTTAGTCAACTAGTTTGTACTGTAAAATGAGATAATGTATTTTATTTGACAAAAAAGTTTTTTGGATTTCAGTTAACATTAAAAATATTGCCATTGTAGCTATCAATCTCTGCCTGTTCATTGTGCCTTGTATATAAAAATGGTCCTTGCTGTAATACATACATTTCATATATATATATATATATATTTACATACAGTTTTCAATAAAGACTAATTTTATACCTCTGGAATGCTATTCATTTACTTGTTTATACTAATATTACATAATATTGTATAATAATAGTGCAATCGCATACATGATGTTATAAAATTTAAGGCCCGCACTGATTTATTTCAAGATTAAATGCTTATATAGGACTTAAATCTCAAATTTTGTGACAGACCTAATATTTGAATCTTGAAAGACCAAATATTCAACATATTTATTATGTTTTTAAATATTTGATTAATTAATGTTAATTGCGATCTTTGCAACCACTTTTTTCTGGAAGGACATTAGGTAACTGTACCTGTTTCTGAAAGTCCTGGATATTCGCCATTCATCACTGTAGAAAAAGTGATATCCAATTGTTTGATCATTTTGTCTGCAGAGGTGTGATACAACCCAGAAGAATTGGTACACTTATTCCAGAAAGAAAGGAGGGATATCTTTTTCTGAAATTCTGGAATTGCTAATGGAAAAGAATACCATAATAGTGAATCGTTAGTATAAATTAAAACTGGACAATAATCAGCTCTATATTTGAAGGAAATTAGTACAGGGTTTACTTAGAAAATGGTACAAAAATAAAGTTCTTTGACTAGAAAGGTAACAATAATTTACCGACTATGTCTATCATTGGTAGGATCTAGTTGCGTGATGGTGAACCTATGCCACAGGTGCCACACAGAGCCCTCTCTGTGGACATGCCAGCTGTCGCCCCAGCGAAGCTCTACTGCGCATGCACATGTGCCTCCCGCTGACCAGCTGATCTTCAGGTCTCTGTGGCGCATGCATGTGGGGCAGAGCACATGCGGGGAACACGCACGTGCATGTGTGGGGGACACTCACATTGTATTTTGGGGGTTCACGTCAGAGGTGGGTTTCTGCCGGTTGGCCCCAGATCGGGCGAACCGGTAGTGGTGGCAGTGGGAGGCTCTGCCTGGACACTTCTGTGCATGTGCAGAAGCATCGTGTGAGTGGGCACGAGCGAACTGGTAGTAAAATAAATTGAAACCCACCACTGGTTCGTGTGTGTGTGCACACCCCCTCCCGCACCCCGTTTTGGGCCTGGAAGGCCTTCTGCACCAACCTGTAAGCCAAAATAGGGTGCAGGGGTCCCGCAAGAGCCCCACCCCCACCCCGTTTTGGGCCTGGAAGGCCTCCTGCACCCACCTGGAAACCAAAAATTGGCGAGGGGGGACGCATGTGTAGGGATGCATGCGCGTGCATTGGGGACAGAGTGGATGCATGGGGGCTGGGTGCATGTACAGAAGGCACTCGCATTTTGGGGTTTCGCATGCACGCACGCTTTGAGCACTCAGCACTAAAAAGGTTAGCCATCACTGATCTAGATCAATGTTTCTTAACCTCAGCAATTTTAAAATGGGTAGACTTCAATTCCCAGAATTCCCTAGCCTGGCTAATGAATCTATTGAGGTTAAAATGTCATGCTAGAAGAATGTTCACTAGAAGAGTGGTCACAGATTGCCCCCTTTTGCTGCTCTTCAGACAACAACTCCCTGTGGCTTTAAACTATTTCCCCCTCATGTCCTTCCTTGTAATAACTTGGAATTCTGAGCCCATGATAGTTGCAATGTTCAGATCACTGTTCTTTGTCTGAGCTACTGTCTTTTTTCATCCAACTTGATTTTGTACATATTACTGTGGTTTAATTAATACTTTTCACCAAAGAAATATGCAGGGGGCTGAAACTTGATAGTCTATTCCCATAGGCTTACTTATAACATGGTATTAATGGTATTTAATCTGGCTTACACTGGATAAATAATTGTACAACAGCAGCCTTAAAAGAGTACATCTGAACATGCACAGAAAAGTACTGCATAGTATAGGGCAAGAAACAGCAATACGCAATCATCTATTCACATGAATATTGTCTATGCTATTTCTCACCTTCACTTATAGGTCTGAAGCTTCCCAGGATCTCACTGCTGATCTCTGCAAGGTTCTCAATCACTAAAATTTGTTGGGATAGTTTATCCAGAAGAGACCTTGTGACAAAGGGAGTTCTGCTAGAGAATACAATTTGCTGGTAAAATAGGAAAGAACAGTGTAAATATTCCCCATACAGAACTATCATTAATTAGGTCAACATTCCAAAAGTGAACAAATGCAAATTTATCAAAGAACGATGTTATAACTTTATGTATTTTACAAACATGATCTTTATCATACATTTTAAAAATGGGATTCAAATGTGATATGTTTCTGTCAATTGCTAACCAGCTCTATTGGATTGTGTATTGGATTCTATTATTTTGACTTTCAGAATATGTGCCTTTAATCTAAATAGAGGATTTAGTATGTATCTCTAGGAGTGATCTCTTTTCTCAGCAAAGTAGATAAATAACAGTAAACAGATTTGCTACACTACTCTGAATATGCCATATTTTCCTCTGAATGTGACATATTTACTTCAGAGAAAGAAAACCCTACTTTTATGATTACTATACACAAATGGGGGGGAGGGAATACTTCCATTATTTTAGTCTCAGCAAGTGCTGAGACTAAATCCATCTGAACAATTTCTGGGAAGGAGGAATTATGCTTTTTATATGATTTTAGGCTGATCAGTGACCAAAATAAATATTTATTTTGTTATTATTTATATCCTGCCTTTATTGTTTTTATAAATAACTCAGTGAACATATGTAATGCTCCTTTTTCCTCCTATTTTCCTTACAACAGCACATCTGTGAGATTGATTGGCTGAGAAAATGTGACTGATCCAAAGTCATCCAGCTGGCTTTCATACCTAAAGTGGGATTAGAACTCATGGTCTCAAGGTTTCTAGCAAAGTGCTTTAACCATTAGACTAAACTGTTCAATTTTGACTTATTTGGAAATATGTCTCATTCACAATGATTTGTAGTACTTTAGTACTACACACCTCAGTAGGACTTTAACCCTATGAAGTATATAAACTTTCATCTCCAATTTACCGTATTTTTCGGTGTATAAGACACACCTTTTTCCCTCAAAAAAGAGGCTGAAAATCTGGGTGCGTCTTATACACTGAATACAGCATTTTTTGCCTCCTGAAACCCCGCCCCTTCACCAAAATGGCCGTGCAGAGCCTGTAGAAGGCTTTCAGATTGTTCCTGGGGGCTTGGGGAAGGCAGAAATGAGTGAAAAACGGGCCTTTTATTTCTCAATGTTGACCCTCCTAGCCCCCAGGAGTACTCTATAAGCCTCCTAAAGGCTCTGCATGGCCATTTTGGTGAAGAGGCGGGGTTTCGGGAGGCAAAAAATGCTGTATTCAGTGTATAAGAACGCACCCAGATTTTCAGCCT